AATTATGTGATCAGGCATATGGTCACTCTCTTGAACACTATGTGCTTAATTGTCCACTTATTGAAGAATACAGAGACATACAGTATAATAACCTATGTGACATGTCAAGATATCTTATTAATGAAAATAAGATACCAGATATACTAAGCAAATTTCCTAAATTTGCTTGTAACAGATAAGTGAACTATAGATATGTAGATATAAATCCATGGGTATTCTTGTTAACCCTTTGGGGCCTAGTTCCTGGGCCTTTTGTGTATCCATATGCTCTTGCGCTACCGTCCACAGGATGGATATGGGGTGCACAATAAACTAGCCACTTCGGTGGCAAAATCTAAATCTAAAAATGTTATCATAGTGGGTTATAGATCTACTCAGGCTTCTAACTGCATTCCTATAACAATCATTTTCATTATTTCCTTCTCTCCTAATATTATTCCTAATGCTAGACACAGTTATACCAAAGTTATATTCTACATTCTCCTTCTGGGTACTCTTCTTGGCTAACATATCAACTTTATCATGAAGGAGTAATCCAATGTGTGATGGGATCCATAGCAATTGTACATTAATTCCTTTGTCCCTAATTTTTGAGTATCTATACCTGGCTTCTCCAATGAGCATGTTGTTGGAGTCATTATATGAGTCAAGAACCTTCAATGATGACAGAATCAGTAATGATGATTGCCTGGAGTTTACCTGGAGAGAGTTCCGGGGGTCAACGCTCCCGCGGCCCGGTCTGTGACCAGGCCTCCTGGTGGATCAGAGGCTGATCAACCAGGCTGTTGCTGCTGCCTGCACGCAAACCAACGTACGAGCCACAGCCCGGTGGTCAGGAATCGACTTTAGGTGCTTGTCCAGTGCCAGCTTGAAGACTGCCAGGGGTCTGTTGGTAATCCCCCTTATGTATGCTGGGAGGCAGTTGAACAGTCTCGGGCCCCTGACACTTATTGTATGGTCTCTTAACGTGCTAGTGACACCCCTGCTTTTCATTGGGGGGATGTTGCCCTCGTCTGCCAAGTCTTTTGCTTTCGTAGTGATGATTTTCGTGTGCAAGTTCGGTACTAGTCCCTCTAGGATTTTCCAGGTGTATATAATCATGTATCTCTCCCGCCTGCGTTCCAGGGAATACAGGTTTAGGAACCTCAAGCGCTCCCAGTAATTGAGGTGTTTTATCTCCGTTATGCGCGCCGTGAAGGTTCTCTGTACATTTTCTAGGTCAGCAATTTCACCTGCCTTGAAAGGTGCTGTTAGTGTGCAGCAATATTCCAGCCTAGATAGAACAAGTGACCTGAAGAGTGTCATCATGGGCTTGGCCTCCCTAGTTTTGAAGGTTCTCATTATCCATCCTGTCCATCCTGAGTCAAGCTCAGTGTCATAGGTTAGCTTTAGCGCCATTAGGATTACAAATAATTCAGTTTGCAGTGTAGACGCCCAGTTGTTAATTCTCATGCCTAACTCAACAAATTTATTATCGTTTTTAACTAGGGAGGTGGCAACAAGAGCAGATGCAGCCCTGCCAGAAGACTCCTGTTTAGATCCATCAGTGTATATAACTTGTGATAACTTATTACTTCCAGCTAGGTGAGAAATTTCTTCTTGAGCAGTTGCTCTAACAAGAGTTTTATCAATACAAATTCCAGGACATAACTTGAAGACATAACTTGAAGCCCTAACTTGAAGACCTAACTTGAAGACCTAACTTGAAGACATAACTTGAAGACCTACTCCTAGGTTAAGGGACTGATTACCTTATCTTCTGTATATAGTTCTACTGTCTTCAAGTTGTCTTGGAATTTGTATTGATAAAGCCACTGGATGGCGAAACGTCTACAATAAAGATACCCAGATGTTGCACATGTGTCTTAATTTCATCTTGTACAAATACACCCAATGTTTTCACCCTTGCCGGGGATCGAACCACGGACGCTTAAGCGTGTGAAGAGTGAGAGTTGCCTACCAGGCCACTGGCCACCATCAGTTCTTATATATAAGTATAAGTATGTCATAGCAGACATAAACAAAAACACCCGGCACACTTTTGTATCATTTACAGATGACACTAAAATAAGCATGAAAGTCAGTACGGTAGAGGACACTGAAAGAGTACAGGAAGACATAAAACAGGGTTTTCCAGTGGGCAGTGGAAAACATGACGTTCAATGGTGATAAGTTCCAGCTGCTTAGGTATGGAAAGAATGAAGAACTCAACATGAGCATTATATACAAAACTCAAGAGGGTCACCAAATAGAACGTAAGGAACACGTAAAAGACCTGGGAATAATTATGTCAGCGGACCTTTCTTTTAAAGACCATAACAAGACAAAGATCACGACAGCCAGGAAGATGACAGGGTGGGTATTGAGAACTTTCAAAACAAGGGAAATAATGCCAATGGTGACACTCTTCAAATTGCTAGTGCTCCCTCACTTAGAATATTGCTCAGTGCTGACGGCCCCGTTCAGGGCAGGAGAAATATCTGAGCTGGAACAAATACAGAGATCGTTTACGGCTCACATTGAGCCAGTAAAGCACCTCTAACTACTGGGGACCCCTGCAAATCTTGAACATGTATTCACTGGAGCGGAGGAGAGAGAGGTACATGATAATATATACTTGGAAGGTGCTTGAGGGCTTAGTCAAAAATCTGCACACTGCCATAACAACATACTGGAGTGAGAGATATGGGAGGAAGTGTAAAATAAACCCAGTGAGGAGCAGGGGTGCAGTGGGGACAATAAGGGAACACTGTATCAGCATCCGGGGTCCCAGACTATTCCACATCTTGCCAGAAGATATCAGAAACACGGCTGGAACCAGTGTAGAAGCCTTCAAGAGGAAACTCGACAAGTATCTTCACTAGGTGCCAGATCAACCAGGCTGTGATGGATATGTGGGGCAGCAGGCCTCCAGCAGCAACAGCCTGGTTGACCAGGCAAGCACCAGACGAGCCTGGCCCATCAGAGTAGGTAAACTAGAAACTATTCAAAGGCAAGGTAAAGGTATGAGTCCTTGTACTAGCTTACTATCAGCAGCTTATCTGTTACAGTAGAAATTTGTCATGATTATAACCATACAAGTAAAATAATCTAAATAAATCAACTACATGGAATCACAATAAAAAGAGATACAACGGGGATAAAATAAACAAGAGTAGTTTGCAGTTTGCACCAACATTAAATAGAGAAAATCAACTTAATACTTTAAGTTTTATCATGGCAGCAGACACCAATATGTTTCCATCATTAACTAATGCTCATCATAAGTATGGGCTTTCTGCATGCACAGCCAGATGTCACCCATTTCTCTGTTAGCTTAATATGTTTATTATGCACCCCATACCCATCCTGTGGGCGGTAGTCAAAAGATTACAGAGGTACATAATTGGTCCAGGGACTGGACTCCAAAGTTTTGATAGCTGAGCAAGTTACAGAGGTAATGAGCTCACAATTTACAAAGGTAATGAACTCCAGGTAGGTCTGGTCACAATCATGACAAGTTACAAAGGTATTTACAGATTACAGAGGTACGTAATGGGTCCAGGGACTGGGCCCCCCAAAGTTTTGATAGCTGAACTAAGTACAAAGGTGATGAGCTCACAAGTTACAAAGGTAATGAATTCTGTAAGAATGGTTACTTACGTTTATACATGGCAACAATCATGAACAAATTATAGTGTCATTTCTGTATAAACATTTTATCATGTGAAAATAAATTATTGCATCATGTGGAAATAAATCTTTGACTTTGATCAAAGTCAAAGATTTATTTTGTAGCTTTGTCAACTTGGCCTGTCAACGTAGGTGTGCCTCAGGGTAGTGTCCTAGGCCCTGCTCTTCCTCATATACATCAGTGGTGTTCCCAATGCTTCTCAGTTACTTTGCTTATTGTTGTATAACTCTTGTGGGTTTAGTGCTTAGTTCTAATTGTAATAATAATAATTCCTCTCAGTAACTTGAATTTGTTCTCTTTGAAGATGACACAATTTTTGTCATTTCCCATTCAGATTCTGTTTCCAGTACTAATGTGTTCCCTTTCAGGCAGTGAAATTAGTAATTTCTCAGTGTTACTTTAATCATTTTTAGGTTCAAGAATATGACTTCCAATTATATCATAGTGTCTATAGAAAACAGTGTTTCACATTAGGAAGTTTTGCTTACAAATATGATCTCAAGGAAAATAACTGTTTGTAAGAGTGGGTATTATTTATGTTGTTATTGCTATTATTATTATTTTTTATTACAAAAAGCGATACATGCTAATGGTTTAATATTATGGTAGGGCGAGTGATTTGCAGTTTGTAGTTCATAATATTTTAGAAAAATCAGTATTAGTATAGTGGTCCTTTGATTTATGATGTTAATCCATTTCCAAAGACATGATTTTATGGTAATTCATTTCAAGATGCCAGAACACATCCATCATGCCCTTCGATACTTTTTGTTGTTTAAACACTTGGGGTTTTTTGAATGGTAAACAAGCATAGACTTCAGTTTGAAATTTTCAGAGGTATTGGCAACCAACAGTAGAGTAAGCCTATCTTTTATAGGCTTATGCACAGGCAGAGTGGCAGGGTAAGGGAGGGTAGGCAGGCCAGGGCAGAGGAAGCAGGGCAGACATGCCAGGGCAGGGAAGGCAGGACAGAGCAGAGGAGGCAGGACAGGGCAGAGGAGGCAAGAAAGGCCAGGGAAAGATGGGCTGGCTAGAGCTGTTGAGGCAGGGCAGGCTGGGATATGTAGAGCAAGGCAGAACAGGCAGGGCAGGACAGGGTTGGGCAGGTAGTGCAAGTTAGGATTGGGCAGGGCAAGGCAGAAATTACTGACTTCTCTTCTAATTTGAGATCTTTGAGCATCTTCATAAATGTTGTTTTCACTTGTTTTTCATTGAGAAACACTTATAATTTATATGTCATGAGTTATTAGTTATATATTATGTTAGTAACAGTATAAATTAGTTTAGTAATTTGTCACCATTATTAATTTTCTATTCTTCTAAACAGCCTCGATGGGTGCCATGGCTGTGGGTGCAGCCATTGGTTATTCCTCTCCTGCCAGTGCAGCTTTCCGTTACGACAATACCACAGAAGTGATCACAGATAATTCCACTTTCGGTAACCTGTACTTGTCAAAGGAAGCACGAGGGTGGTTTGCTGGATCCCTTAGTATTGGTGCACTCCTTGGATGTATGCTTGCTGGTCTCTGCATCAACAACATTGGCAGGAAAGGCACCATGCTGGTCTCCGTTGTCCCTCTCCTGAGTGGCTGGATACTTATCGGTGCGGGCTTGTCTTATTATTACTATATTCATATTGTATTTGAATTACATATACATACATGTATTCATATCACAGGTAGGCCCCTCTTTACAGCGCTTCACTCTGTGGCTATTCGCTAATATGGACATTTCAAATTTTGACCAAAAATTCATTTATACTGCTCCCTGATTCACTATTTTGGCGTCCATGCACCACTCTGTTTACATCCTCCATGAGCTTTAGCGTCTCTTGATTATGTTTAGAAACTTTCCAAAATTTCTAGTGTTTTAAAGTTATTGTGTATTTTATATACGTATACTCTGATAATTGTACAGTGGACCCCCAGTTATCGGCTGCTTCTGTTATCGGCCAACTTGGTGATCGGCCGATTTTTCGGTGCCTGGTTATCGGCCGGTTTTTCGGCGCCCGGTTATCGGCCGTTAATTTGGTGATCGGCCATTAATTTGGTGATCGGCCGTTTAGGACGCGTTCATCTGCTGGCTGGGGCCCCTTGCTCGTCAGTTAGGCTGTGTCTTTCAGTGCGTGAGGAAGCTTCTGCTCATACATCCAAACATTTCGCTTGTTTTCCATTGTTTTTTTGTGGGTTTTTTGCAGTGCAACTGTGAAATAAGTAACCATGGCTCCAAAGAAAGTTCCTAGTAAATTCCTGTGGTAAAGAAAGTGAGAAGCACCATGGAATTTAAGCGTGAAGTGTAGCAGGCATGCATGAAGTGTAGCAGGAATGCAGGAAGTGTAGCAGGCATGCAGGGAGTGCAGCAGACATGCAGGGAGTGTAGCAGGCATGCAGTGAGTGTAACAGGCATGCAGGGAATGTAACAGGCATGCAGGGAGTGTAGCAGACATGCAGGGACTGTAATAGGCATGCAGGGAGTGTAGCAGGCATGCAGGGGGTGTAGCAGGCATGCATGAAGTGTAGCAGGCATGCAGGGAGTGTAACAGGCATGCAGGGAGTGTAGCAGGCATGCAGTGAGTGTAACAGGCATGCAGGTAGTGTAGCAGGCATGCAGGTAGTGTAGCAGGCATGCAGGGAGTGTAGCAGGCATGCAGGGAGTGTAGCAGACATGCAGGAAGTGTAGCAGACATGCAGGAAGTGTAGCAGGCATGCAGGTAGTGTAGCAGGCATGCAGGTAGTGTAGCAGGCATGCAGGTAGTGTAGCAGGCATGCAGGGAGTGTAGCAGGCATGCAGTGAGTGTAGCAGACATGCAGGGACTGTAGCAGACATGCAGGGACTGTAGCAGGCATGCAGGGACTGTAACAGGCATGCAGGGACTGTAACAGGCATGCAGGGAGTGTAGCAGGCATGCAGGGAGTGTAGCAGGCATGCAGGGAGTGTAGCAGGCATGCAGGGAGTGTAGCAGGCATGTGGGAAGTGTAGCAGGCATGCAGGGAGTGTAGCAAACATGCAGGGAGTGTAGCAAGCATGCAGGGAGTGTAGCAGGCATGCAGGGAGTGTAGCAGACATGCAGGAAGTGTAGCAGACATACAGGAAGTGTAACAGGCATGCAGGGAGTATAACAGGCATGCAGGGAGTGTAACAGGCATGCAGGGATTGTAGCGGGCATGTAGGAAGTGTAGCAGGCATTCCAGAAGCCAGCATTAGTCTTCAATACAGGTATGTAATACCGATTTAATTGTTAAAAAAATGATTTTTTGGTGAATATTTTTGTCGGGAATGGGTTAATTGTAATTACATTCATTCTTATGGTAAATATTATTTTGGTTTTAGGTCGAGCTTCTGGAACGGATTACAGCCGATAACCGAGGGTCCACTGTACGATATCTATAGGAAATTATTATATTCATAGAAATGTGCTAAACCTGTAAGGGTGGGTTTTACAACCCCTGGGGAATGGAAAGCAATCAGGTTGGATACAAGGAAAGGAAAGGTAGTTCCAATTACTTGAATCAAGAGCTTTAACCAAAATCAAGGCACCATCTCTAAAGGGTAGGGATGTAGTTAAGGATACATATATATATGGCACAAAATATATCTTTAATTTATAAATTTAATTTATATTTGGGCCTCTCTTTAGGCATTCTTTATTATTTATAATAGATTCACAAAAATGAGCCAAAGCCATGTGGGTTATACAGTGCCATAAGCTGGAGGAGAGCTGTAAGTGTGCTCAAATTATAAATAAATAAATAAATAAATAAATAAATAGCAGGGGAAAAGAAATTTTAAGGTTCAGAGTCAAAGTTAGCACAATAACTGGAGAGTACTAGTACCATCCGACTTACGACCGTCAAACGTCAAAGTTAGCACAATAACTGGAGAGTACTAGTACCATCCGACTTACGACCGAGCTTGGTTCTGACCAGTTGGTCATAAGTCAAAATGGACGCAAGTCGAATCTTAGAAAATTGCCAACATATTGGGTAGGGCGTAATGTCAAACCTTTGCTATATAAAGTACCTATATAGTATGTTACTTTTTACTAAATATTTTACTACTATATATCAGCATCACAATTATTGTAACGATTTTATTTTATTGTTTTGTTTTTGTATTTCATTTTTTACTTTGCTTTTTATGCCTTTAGTACTATATTTTACAATGTAAGGTTTAAGAGAAACACTGTGTACAACACAAACAGTTGTTTATTTCCAAGAACATTTGCATGCAAAACAATGTGTTCGAATTCACTTAGAATGCAAGAACAGAAAAGTACAAAATAACTTAAGCTAAACTGTAAACAGTGTAAATCAAAATTACATAAATTCAAAAAATAGAAAAAAAGGAAACTCGAGGAAATTTTAATGAAATGTAAACGAAATAAAAATAAGGATTCAGACACATTCACAGCCCACTTGTGCTTGGTTGGGGATCGTCTACACTTTCTTGCTCTGAAGGGGTAGGGGTGAGGGGAGGTGGGGGAGCACTCTTCTTGATAAGCATACTGAGATTTGTTTGAATTTAACTTTTTTTCTTTTCTTCGTAAATTTCTCTGCATGGACGCATTGTGTTCTGTACCATTCTCTCAATCTTGACAAATCATTCAATGTTAGAGTCCATATTCTCTAGTTTTTGTAGGCCTTGGTTTATCAATGAAAAACACTGTGATAATTCCTTCACCGAGAACTTTCTGGCCCCTCTTCTTTTTTTTCTTCTTCTCTCTGTCTTTGTTCTGCTTTTCTTTCTCCTTCTATTATCAGTTCTTCATTCTTTATCTCTTGAACTTCTTCTGTCAAAAGTTCTTCACTATCATCCACATCACATTCAAGTTTGAGTTCGTTAGCCAATTTTAAAATCTCACCTCTCACCATGCTTAACTCTTCTTCGTTGTTGAAGCCATGAATTTCTTGATGCTGCTTGAGTGATGTGAGAGTTTTCCCAAGATGGCGTGTTGCCGCAAGTAGCGGTCAACTGCCACATGGCGGTGTGCATCAGCCCACCCAGCCCTGCTGCCAGATGTACGGATGTAAGTACGAGTGGTCATATGTCGAGCAGGTCATGAGTAGGATAGTACTAGTACTAGAAAATAATCTGGAAAAGGCATATTCCTGTAGGAGATTAGAAGGTCCCATCCCATGGAACATCCAGAATAGTCTTCACATTCATTATTTTGATCATCAGAATGTTCAAAATGCAGAATAAAGCAATGTCATGTGCTTGTTGAAAAGGCAATGCAGCTTTGAATTTGAAAGACATTGGGATGTGAGGAGTCAGAGCTATGAAGAGCTGGTGATGCACTTTGGGAATCCAAGACAACAACAGAGGAGGAGGTAATAATGGTAGAATTACCAACATGATAAAGCTCCTGGAGAGTAAACGTTCCCACAAAATATCACATTATTGGCATCTGTGCTAAAAGCACAAGGGATTACACATCTATATACAGTAGGGCCCCACTTATATGGCAGGTAAGGTTCCAGGCTACTGCCCTAAAGCTTATAAATGCATATAAATACTAGATAGCAAGTTTACACTAACATATATTAAGTTAGCAATAGAACTAGGCATTAAAAAACAAAAAAGTAAAATACACATATAGTACACTCATTATTTAAAATATTTGTAGTCTTCATGTAGGGTGAGATGAGTAGTATTTATTATAAGAAATCAAGTGTGGTATATATAGTAGCCAGCCAGGCTACCATACCAGGCCACCCCACCCACACATAATATCCAACATTTAAAGCATCCCAGAGTGATAAAATGCATATACAGTTCACTCATTAATTACCTTAAAATATTTGTAGTCTAAATGTAGGGTCACAGGTGAGTAAATGAGATAAAACGAATAAACGAGAGAGAGAGAGAGAGAATGAGTACATGAGAGAGGACAGACACTAGTTATGTAAACAAACCAGGCGAACGTGCCTGGTTTGTGTACAAGTTGTCTCCACGTTGATACAGTAGAATAAATAAAGAGCAACACTCCCATTCTCATGCAACACCATTTTTAGAAGAAATGATGCTCTGAGTGAAGGCATATGAAAGGAATAATTTTCTAGTTACCCCCAGTAATATTATAGAGTACACACTTTCTCTGATGTTGGACTAGAGAAAACGCTATTCTTGCTGTCACTTCTACAAGTCACCTGGTACCACATTTCATATTTATGTTAATTTATTCTACTGTGGGGTGTATTTATCATGTTTATATGTTACATAGTATGTTTATTATATAATTTTGAAAAAAATATATTAATGTAATATATGACATTTAATGTGCCTCAGTGATTATTATTGAGTATTATTGTCATTATTAATATGGTGTCTCGAGACATAAAACACACTTACTGATTTTAATGTGTACCTGCATGCCAGCACAGTGTGTAAGTTTATTTAGGTACAGGTATACATAAGTATAATTATTAGAGTATATATAAAATATTCTAGGTAGTAGGTTGGTAGACAGCAACCGCCCAGGGAGGTACTACCATCCTACCAAGTGAGTGTAAAACGAAAGCCTGTAATTGTTTTACATGATGGTAGGATTGCTGGTGTCCTTTTTTTCTGTCTCATAAACATGCAAGATTTCAGGTACGTCTTGCTACTTCTACTTACACTTAGGTCACACTACACATACATGTACAAGCATATATATACACACCCCTCTGGGTTTTCTTCTATTTTCTTTCTAATTCTTGTTCTTGTTTATTTCCTCTTATCTCCATGGGGAAGTGGAACAGAATTCTTCCTCTGTAACCCATGCGTGTTATAAGAGGCGACTAAAATGCTGGGAGCAAGGGACTAGTGACCCCTTCTCCCGTATAAATTACTAAATTTAAAAAGAGAAACTTTTGTTTTTCTTTTTGGGCCACCCTTCCTTGGTGGGATACGGCCGGTTTGTTGAAAAAAGAAATGTATAAAATATGAAATAAATTTAGAAAACAGTTGAAATTTTGGGAAGTTTCCAGACATAATGGAGAGATGCAGTGCTTACGGAGCTCATGGAGAATGTAAACAAACCTGGTGGGGCGCGGTGACCATATTAGAAAGTCAGGTGGGGGGAGCTGTATAGCGAGTTTTGGTCATAATTTAAAATGTCTGTATTAGTGGAACGCCATAAAGCGAAATGCTGTAAAGTGGGGCCCTACTGTATCCTAGAACAAACAATGTTTTTGGATAGCTGCTTATTATGTAAAGCATTTCAGACAGACAAAAACTAATACAGCCTCTCCTTGCTTAACGATGGAGTTCCATTACTAAGATCATGTCGGTAAATGAATTCATCACTAAGTGAGGAGCATACTATAATGGTAGTGGGTTTGTGTCAATAAATGTTTATACAGTAGTGTACTGTATACTGTAATAAATAGAATAAAGGAAATCAGCTTTAATATACATTTAGGTATGCATACTGGTCAGAGAGCCTGTCGTAAGTCCGAGTCGTCGGTAAATGAGTGTGTCACTAAGTGAGGAGAGGCTGTCCTAAAAATTATTGAATACTATTTTAGGTATAGAGATAAAATCTGTTAATGAAATAAAGTTTAAGTTGCAGTTCAACATACATACAGTTTCTGTATTTAAGCTAAATGCAGTAGTTATGATTAAATGGTGAGGTAACATTTACTAAGAAAGTGATATAAGATATACACCTACCATCCGACTTACGACCTGCTCGACTTACGACTACTCGACTTACGACCATGTTTATTATGCCAAATATCTGGGAAATAAACAACTATTTGTGTTGTACACAGTGCTTATCCTAAACCTTACAGCATAAAATACAGTACTAACAGCATAAGAAGTAAAGTAAAACATGAAATACCAAAATAAAACAATAAAATAAAGTCATTACAAAAATGTTTTGTTGATATTCAGTAGTAAAGTTCGACTTGCGACCATTTCGACTTACGACCGGTTTCTCGGAACCGAACTCGGTCGTAAGTCGGATGGTAAGTGTATTAGTCCAACATTTATGGTCATTATATATAAAATTATATCAAATCAAATCAAATCAAATTTCATTCCAAGAATGACAGGGTGTTGAATCAGCTTCAGGATTATATCTTTTTTAGTGTATTCTGTGAGCAAAGTATTTTGGGAATAAGTGAGACTTTGGAAAGGGAAAGGAAGAGGGACGTTCTCTGATAAATGTAACCTCCCTAGCTGGGACAAGACCCTCTTCTGTAGACTGAAGGGCTCAGAGTGAGACTCTGATAGAGTACTCATCTTCTCTTTCATTATCTCCATTTGGCTTTAATAGTACCACTGGCCAGTGATTATTACACTTTGTGTTTAGATGCTTTTATATATAAAGGTTATCTAAATTGTGATGTCCACATACTTCTGGCATTACTATAATAATTAAATAATAAGTGAATATGTTTCCTTTTTTAGGTCACTCTACCTTCGTGGAAAACAGCCAGTGCAGTTAAAATATTTAATTTAACTTTCATTTCCTCAGGATTGGCACAGAACCTGTCTATGCTCGTCATTGGTCGTATCTTGTGTGGGCTGTGTACGGGCATCAGTTCCTTGGTGGTACCTACTTACACTACTGAGTTTGCCTCCAAGGATATCAGAGGAGCACTGGGTAATTATTGTATATTAAACTATTACAATCATGGGAAAGTGCTAGGTCTATAGAGGTCATGCAGCACCTAGGAATGTGAGGTAATCAGGTTTGACTCAAGGAAGGGGAGGGTAGCTCCATTTCTTTGGATTACCAGCTTCATGGCTTTTCTCTTGAAGGGAGCACTTGGTAAGTTTTCTTATTTAACAGAATTGGGTATATGGGCATTGTGCAGCCCTATGCTATATGATAGTTACATTGTAGGGTAAGAAAAACAGTTGTTTATATATCATAGTCCACACTGTTGAGGTAATGATTGTTTGTCGACTTGATCAGGAGACGTCAGTTTAATAACTATTGAACTTGAAAGGTTTTGTTCCAACAGAACTGGCATTACTATTAGGTGGAAATTGCATCTCTCCGGAGAGTAATCCCATGGCTGTGTAAGCATACTGTCATATGATTTATCCCCACACATTATCCACATATGTTACTTATGCAATTTTTTTTTCTATATACTGTATGTATTTTATTTGCACGCATTTTTCAAGTCATAAAAAATGAGTTTTCAACATCATTTTGCTACCTTATATACATCAATTTTTATATATATTATCGAGTTACACACTGTTGTCAGTGCAGTTACTGAATGAAGCTCTGAGTGAAGGCAATGGAAATAAGTCACACTGACTTTTTTTTTTTTGGGTTATCCTAGGTACTTTACACATATGCTGCTATGTAGGATAATCTATGTAACTGTATTTGTGTATACCTGAATAAACTTACATACGAAAGGAATAATTTTCTACAGTTACCCATCATAGATGGATTAATGAAAATATGTATATTAACGTAATATACAACATTTAATGAGACTTGGTGATTATTATTATCATCATCATCATCATTACTAATATGGTGTTTCGAGACATAAGACACTCTTACTGATTGTAATGTGTACCTGCACACCAGCACAGTGTGTAAGTTTATTTAGGTACAGGCATGCATAAGTATTATAATTATCAGAGTATATATAAAATATGAAATAACTTTTAAAAACACTTGAAATTTTGGAGTTTCCAGATATAATGTAGAGACTTAGTGCTTACAGATCTCATATAAAATGTAAACAAACCGGGTGGGGCACGGTGACCGTATTAGAAAGTCAGGTGAGGGGAGCCATATAGAGAGTTTTGGTCATAATTTGAAATGACCGTATTAGCGGAATGCTGTAAAGTGAAGTGCTGTAAAGTGGGGCCCCACTGTGTATGTGTGTGTGTGTGTGGTGTGTGTGTGTGTGTATGTATGTTTATATCGGGCAAGATATAAGCGACTATTGGCAGAAAGGTGGGCTAGTGCAAAGATGAGTAGTGGGGGGTTGAAGAGGGTTGGAATAGTTTTAAAAATGCAGTATTAGAATGTGGGGCAGAAGTTTGTGGTTATAGGAGAGTGGGGGCAGGAGGAAAGAGGAGTGATTGGTGGAATGATGAAGTAAAGGGTGTGATAAAAGAGAAAAAGGTAGCTTACGAGAGGTTTTTACAAAGCAGAGTATATGGAGAGTAAAAGAAAGGTGAAGAGAGTGGTGAGAGAGTGCAAAAGGAGAGCAGATGAAAGAGTGGGAGAGGCACTGTCAAGAAATTTTAATGAAAATAAGACAAAATTTTGGAGTGAGTTAAACAAGTTAAGAAAGCCTAGGGAAAGTATGGATTTGTCAGTTAAAAACAGAGTAGGGGAGTTAGTAGATGGGGAGAGGGAGGTATTAGGTAGATGGCGAGAATATTTTGAGGAACTTTTAAATGTTGAGGAAGAAAGGGAGGCGGTAATTTCATGCACTGGCCAGGGAGGTATACCATCTTTTAGGAGTGAAGAAGAGCAGAATGTAAGTGTGGTGGAGGTACGTGAGGCATTACGTAGAATGAAAGGGGGTAAAGCAGCTGGAACTGATGGGATCATGACAGAAATGTTAAAAGCAGGGGGGGATATAGTGTTGGAGTGGTTGGTACTTTTGTTTAATAAATGTATGAAAGAGGGGAAGGTACCTAGGATTGGCGGAGAGCATGTATAGTCCCTTTATATAAAGGGAAAGGGGACAAAAGAGATTGTAAAAATTATAGAGGAATAAGTTTACTGATTAAACCAGGAAAAGTATACGGTAGGGTTAAATTGAAAGAATTAAGGTAAGAAAAAATGTAAAATTGTGGATGAAAGGGGCTTCAGGTGGGTGGGGTTTTGTGTAGTCAAGTGTTACATTGAAGCAATATGTGAACAGTATTTAGAAAAAGGTAGGAATTTTTTTATTGATTTATGGATTTGAAAAAGGATATGATAGAGTGGATAAGGAGCAATGTGGCAGATGTTCAAGTTTAGGAAAAGGGGGTAAATTACTAAATGCGTAAAAAAGTTTTTTGAGGATAGTGGGCTAGGTTTTGGGTGGTAGAAGAGAGGGGGGAATGCTTCCGGTAAAAAAGGTCTTAGACAGGGATGTGTAATGTCACCATGGGTTTTTTAATTATTTTAAAGATGGGGTTGTAAAAGAATAAAAAGGGGTTTCGGGAGAGGGTGGGTTAAATTTGGGGACAATTCAAAATGGGAATTAAAACAGTATTTTTGCTGATGTATGTGCTTAAGGGGGAAATTTTAAAGAAAAATTGCAAAGTTTTGGATGAGTTTTGAGAATGTGTGTAAAAAGGGAGAAAGTTTAAAGTGAACTAGAAAAAGATAAGTGATGAGGGATCAAATGATTTAGATAAAGAAAAATTGGATTCAAATTGGGGGGAGGAGATTGGGGAAGAAGTGAATTTTTCAGATACTTGGGAGTTGACATGTCGGCGGATGGATTTATGAAGATGAGGGTTAATCATCGAATTGATGAGGGAAAAAAGGTGAGTGGTGCGTTGAGGAATATGTGGAGTCAAAAAACGTTATCTATGGAGGCAAAGAAGGGAATGTATGAAAGTATAGTAGTACCAACACTCTTATATGGATGTGAAGCTTGGGTGGTAAATGCAGCAGCGAGGAGACGGTTGGAGGCAGTGGAGATGTCCTGTCTAAGGGCAATGTGTGGTGTAAATATTATGCAGAAAATTCGGAGTGTGGAAATTAAGAGAAGGTGTGGAGTTAATAAAAGCATTAGTCAGAGGGCAGAAGAGGGGTTGATAAATTAGACATGTGCAACTCTTGGGTATCTTATTGAGGGAAACGTTTCACCACACAGTGGCTTCATCAGTCCATACAAAGGAGAATCTTGAAGAACAAGAAGAAGAGGGGTTGTTGAGGTGGTTTGGTCGTTTAGAGAGAATGGATCAAAGTAGAATGACATGGAAAGCATATAAATCTATAGGGGAAGGAAGGAGGGGTAGGGGTTCGTCCTCGAAAGGGTTGGAAAGAGGGGGTAAAGGAGGTTTTGTGGGCTAGGGGCTTGGATTTCCAGCAAGCGTGCATGAGCGTGTTTTGATAGGAGTGAATGGAGACAAATGATACTTGGGACCTGACGATCTGTTGGAGTGTGAGCAGGGTAATATTAGTGAAGGGGTTCAGGGAAACCAGTTATTTTCATATAGTCGGACTTGAGTCCTGGAAATGGGAAGTACAATGCCTGCACTTTAAAGGAGGGGTTTTGGGATATTGGCAGTTTGGAGGGATATGTTGTGTATCTTTATACGTATATGCTTCTAAACTGTTGTATTCTGAGCACCTCTGCAAAAACAGTGATAATGTGTGAGTGTGGTGAAAGTGGTTGAATGATAATGAAAGTATTTTCTTTTTGGGGATTTTCTTCCTTTTTTGGGTCACCCTGCCTCGGTGGGAGACGGCCGACTTGTTGAAAAAAAAAATGTATATATTATTATATATATATATATATATATATATATATATATATATATATATATATATATATATATATATATATATATATACAGTGGACCCCCGCATAGCGAACTTAATCCGTGCAAGAGGGCTGGTCGTTATGCGAAATGTTCGCTATGCGAATTAATTTTCCCCATAAGAAATAATGGAAATAAAATTAATCCGTGCAAGAACCCAAAAGTATGAAAAAAAAAATTTTTTTTACCACAAAAAAAGTTAATTTTAGTACACACAAACTAAAAAGGCATGCACAATTACATGACACTTACTTTTATTGAGATCTGGTGATGATTGATGGGATGGGAGGAGGGGAGAGAGAGTTTTTAGTGTTTAGAAGGGGAACCCCCCTTCCCCTTTAAACACTTGGGGAAAGGCAAGTCCTTTTCCGGGGTTACTTCCCTTCTTCTTTTAATGCCACTAGGACCAGCTTCAGAGTCACGGGACTTCTTTCTGTCCATAGAGCTCTGTACCTCCCGTTCCTTTCGATTTGTCTAAAATGGGCCATAACATTGTCATTGAAATGTCACCAGCACGCCTTGCAAAAGCTGTGTCAGGGTGATTTTTCATCCATAAAGGTTTGCAGTTCAAACCCCGTGCACACATTCCTTAATTTTTGAAGTAGGCACAATGGATTCCACAACTGGCATAGGCTTCTCAGGGTTAGCCCCCAAACCCCTTTAAAATCTTTTTAATTTCCATACTAATTCTCACCCTTTTTACCACAGGGTTTGGGACTAGAAGCTTTCTTGGGGCCCATGGTCACTTATTTTCAACAAACAGAACCGAAAACCCCTGTAATAATACGAAATATTCCGAGTGTATGCTTGAATGTTACCGCGGAGGCTAGCTAGTAAACAATGGGACAGGCGGCACATGTGAGGCTGGCTGAGGCCGCAAAATTGGACGCGTCTCGGAAAGAAGTTCGCTGAGCGGGTTTTTGTCTACTATGCGGGGCAAATTTTAGCGATCAAAACGTTCGCTTTTGCGGAATGTTCGCTATGCAAGGCGTTCGCTATGCGGGGGTCCACTGTATATATATATATATATATATATATGTATGTATGTATGTGTGTATATATATATATACACATACATACATACATACATGCATGCATGCAATACATACATACATACATGCATGCATGCATGCATAC